AGCTGCCTCATACTTGTTCTCAAAGTCCTTCAGTTTACACGAGTATTAAGAGACAACCTGCTCCTTGCCATTGTTGTTGAGTTGTGAGAGAATTGCTCCCACTCCAATAGAGCATGCATCTATTTGAAAATGCATTGACCACTTTGGGTTAAATGATGTAAGAACTGAAGTAAAACTTAGTTGACTTTTTAGCTCGTTAAAGGCATTTTCACATTCCTGTGTCCAATCAAATGGGACTCACTTGTGTGTAAATTGGTACAATGATGCTGCAATTCTAATAATTTGGATAAAGTCCCAATAGTTTGCCAGACCAGCAAACTGCTGAATTTGCTTTTCGTTTGTGGGGGTTGGAAACTCTGAGACAGACTTTATTTTCTCTATTATAGACCTTATCTGGCAGTAGCTGACGATATGGCAAAGAACTTGATCTTTGTAGCATAAATATGCATTTTTCCTTGCAAAGTCAGAGATTTGCATTGGACAAAATGTCCAGAACTTTGAAGAGCATGTGAAGTTCTTCAAGTATCTGTGAAGATAATAATGTCATGAAGTTCTTCAAGTATCTGTGAAGATAATAATGTCATCTTCACAGTAATTGTCCACTCCTCTGTCTATAAAAGACTACTGAAGCAGACTACTGAAGCATACTTCTGATGATGCACTAGAATGTTGAAGGGGTGTTTTTCAATCCAAAAGTCATCACTAGGAACTCACATTAGCCATCTTCTGTCACAAAAACATCTCAATTGAGTTGGGATGTACTGGTATCTGCTAGTAACCCCATACCAAGTTGAAAACTGAGTAATAGCATTTGTTTGCAACTGTGTTGAGTAAACCCTCAATACATTGTAATGGTGTGTGTTCATCAATGGTAAGTGAATTCAGCCAGTAGTAGTAGACACAGAACTGTTTGCTACCATATTTCTTTGTTATCAGTATAACTGAAAAGGACCACGAAGACTTTGCCTCATAGATAACACCAGCTTCTAACATGACATAAACCTGATTCCTGACAAACTTCTGAATGTTTATAGGGCCTGAGGTAAATTGGCAAAGCACTCTCCATGACTCTGATGTGATGAGTATCAACAGTAATACATCCAATATCATTTTTGCTTTGGGTAAAGATCTTGTAGTCAAGCAGCATTGGAAAGACAGAGTTAACATGGTTAACAAGGTGCTGAGTGCTGCCAATGGTTTGTATTGCCTTCTTTGTTGTGAGATTGGCATTAATGTCAAATTTGGCAGCATTGCTGTTGCCAATTAGTATGTTGTGAGCAAAGCATTTGAATATGTGAAGCTTGATGTGATGAGTCAATTGTCATATTGTCAAGTCCACTGTTGTACAACCCACACTCTTAGATTAGCCACCAACTGTCCAAACTGATATTGATGTCCTTTGCTCGTATGAAAGACCCAGTTCTTTAGCATGATATATTGATACAATTGACATATGAATGATTTCTTTACCTAAATTATTAATAAACAATAGACTTTTAAAATGCATGCTTTTGTGTTATTCTTGACATGAGACTTAATCTCATACATCACATCAAAAACATCACAGATAAAGCTATAAAAACAGCCAACGCCCTCATTAGCATTGCTAGGAACACATGGGATCTTGGCCCTAATGCTACTAAGCTTATTCACAGGGTGCAATTTAGCCAGCATTCCTCTATGCCATACAGGTCTGGGGCCACTTGGCCACCAAAGTCTACAACTGTAAAAAAATGTTATCTGTTCAAAGGATTGCAGCTTTCTGTATTTGTAAGGCATATAGGATTGCACCCACTAGTGCCCTGTTGGTAATGTCAGGGTTGACCCCTATCAACTTAGATCCACGATGTGAGTGTCCTTTTGTAGTTTACTCTGCTTTAGGCTGCAAGCTTCACAATGCTTGCTTCTGTCTAGGTACACAGTGCTCAATAGCACAGGCAGAAACTTTAGCTATTTATATGAGCTTAATTCACATTAGGCATAGGAAGAACAAAAGACACTACTTACACTATTGCATTTATTTTGACTGTAGGGTAGTTTACACAGGATTGCAAAGTTTGATAGTGGCTTAAAACTCATCCATCTCATACACCACATCCTCAGACACTTAGACAACAGCATTAAAATAGATTTCCAATGGGTCTCAAGTCATGTGGGGTTCTTCGGCAATGAGACCACTGACTGTCTTGCCAAACAAGCTGCAAAGCCTTCAGTCATTAGTACTTTCAGTTACATTCCTACCTTGTATATCAACAATCACGTCAAGAAGCAAATCTTCATTCTCTGACAAGACAGCTGGGACCATGACACAACTGACAGGCACACCTACACTTTTATCCCCAAGGTTGACACTACTGCGATTCTTTGCCACTTTTACCCTAGTTACGCCCTCACTCAGCTACTCACAGGACATGGCAACTTTAAGCAATACTTGCATAGATTTAACCTTGGAGACAATCCACAATGCAAATGTGGTATTCAGGAGGACCAAACATCACTTTAATTAGTTTTTCGTGGCAATAGGTACAATCACATTAGGGATAGTTTAATGAAAGCTGCTATTCTTGAAGTGTACAACTGGCCTTGCAACCTGCATTAACTCATTCACATGTGTACAATGTTCCACTGTGAAAGGTGTGCAAAATTAAAATTACCACAAAGGCAGACAGGATACAGTAAAAATGATAAATGATATATTTTTACAATTAAACAATTTCGCGTTCATAGATAAATTCTTGATTGAGAATTTCAACGTCACAATATGTGACCGTAGGGTCGGTGTCTCTTTGACACCACATCAGGAGTCCTGAATCTGACACTACCGAGTCTTGCAGGACTCGGAAATCGCGACGTTATGTCACGCGAGCGGTAGTGGGTAAGCGATTGGATTCGGAGTAGAGGTGAGAAGAGAGACGAGGAAGTGACTCACTCGGATTCCATATTTTCTAACAAATAACAATTTTAATAAGAACCAAAGACAATACAGAGATATCGGGCATATTATCGGTCTTAATTATACTAGGTCGTTGAGAGAGAGAGAGTTTACAACCGAATCGCAGGTTGATAAATACCTTTCTTCTAGGTCGCAGATCTGTAATATGATGACACTGTTGACTCCGATGGAATGTTCCCTCAAATTCTTGTCCGTTAACCGGAGCTCGGAGGTGTGGAAGCACAAAAGTGGGATGAGATTCTTAGAGGCACAGTGTTACTTCTGGATTCTGGTTTACAGGTTTTATGTCTGGATTCGGGTTCACAGGTTTAATCCTTGAGGATGACTTTTGTAGAGGGACTTTGGATGACGACTGACCTCGGGACGACTCCTTTTCTCTTGTTATTCCTCTTGGGTTTCTTCCATGAGGTCAGGTGGTTGTTGTTAACGGTCTGGCGTCCAATATAGGCACTCTATCGAAAGTTCCTGGTGACACTCCTCTTCAACAAGGAACCAACTCCGTGGGAAATAAATTTTTATGGCTTTTTGTCTAACGCTCCATTTTATATGATGAAATGTTTTAATAATTAAAATTTAAAATAACACTTTATCAAGGGTCTGTTCGTCCCTCACACAACACATTATAATCATATGAAAATTTACTGCTAAGACAATAGTTCATTAGATCTAAATGTGAGGTACCGATCCCGATTGCGATAAGATGCAGCCCGAGCTTAAAACTGATCTTATACACTAACTTAACACTAATGGAAGAAAAGGATAGAAACAAGAGGACAAAGAAAGAATACATATGATAGAAACAGAGATACTCGGGATTTTGTTGGCGTACTTTCACTATGCGTGCTGTTGGGAGGGATGCTACACGATAATCTCCAAAAACTCGACTCATTGTCTACTTCTTCTATACGTAAAGTTCTGTTTTTAATTTTTCTTTCACTGTTGTTGATTCTCCCTTAAACCAGGAACCCTTCTCTTAACGTGCTTCCGAGAACTCCGGTCATTGCTAACGCGACTCAGAGTGTTCTCTCTCCACTTCCGTTTGCTTTGAAGTTCCGCAAGAGAAATGCCTTTGTCCCTTCTCTGTTTGCCCTCAGGGTCCTGCTCAGTCCTTTGTTTCACCATTCTCAGAACTGGTCATCCCACCCAATGGACAGGGATTAAGATAAGAAAGTTCTAGAAGGAAATAGAACAAAAGGACAAAGGATAGAAAGAAGAGATAAAACTAAACTTAAATTAATATGTACAAAAATATAACGTACAGCTACACCATCATCTCCTTGCATTCATATCTACTAGTGGGGCTCTTGAGAGTACTCACACTGGAGGCACGAATGACAATTAGCTTTCCCTTGCTTTGTTTCAACTGTCGGTACGTAGCTGTCATCATCAGTAAAAACAAAACAATTGACATTCTGTTTTTAACCACTGTTGCATATTTCTTCCAAAAATGAAAGATATGCTTTGAAAAACCACTAGAAATACCGAAGAACAAACAGCACTACGATAAGTAAACAAAATTTTTTTGCTAGTGAAATAGTTCAATAGTTCCGAACTTTGAGCAATTTGCAAAATGGTAAAATTTGCTGGAAATTACATCATGTATGATGGTTTATTCCCTTTGTTTTTTGCTTTTGCCAGCAATTTGCTCTTGGTGTGAATTAAGATAAACAAGAGAACATGAAAATCAAAGAAATTACATTTTATATGTATTACTTAATAATCATCAATAAAACTATTTTATTCAAATTTTTGATAAATCAAATTTTGCATTTTCCTTGAAATGCAAATTAACCAGATTTGACTGTATAAAAAAATGTGGTCCTGCTCTGAAGAGTAATATATACTTCAATAAAAAATAAAAAGAAAATGAGATATTTTCTTATATAACTTATGGTTCTCATATAACTTTTATGGTTTTTCCATTTATACCTCATATGTAAATATTCAATAAAATGGAGTATCATTTTTCTGAGTACAGTTTTAATGAGAATAATTTTATGTCTTAAAAAATTATTTTCTTAAGTATTTATTTAACGTTTATACTTACTTGAAAATTTGATGCTATATTTCCACCACACAAATCAACTAGTTCTGTCATATGATACCAGGCATCAAATTTCCAAAGACATATTTTAAGATCCAGATGTTGATATAAACGTAATGTCTTTTCTTCTCGAAGCATGAGGTCATACTGATAAGGTGTGGTGAAATAGAATTCTGAGAAATTGTGATTTGAAATATCTAAAAAAAGCATATTTTGATTAATTAGAATATTCTATGCAAATACAATATCAATAAGATTTAATAAGTTATTCTTATCTTATAATATTCAAAACTAATTATTATTAAATCAAAAACCATCCACTACTCTTGTGTTCAATTTTATAGCCCCTTTTGACCCTCCTCCCTGATTTATGTAAGAATGTTCTTTTGGTAAACTTTCTCCCCTATAATCAAAGATCACAAAGCATAAATTATTAGTATAGGAACACAAAGCTTTGTAAATTTTATGATCATTTATTTTATTAATTAATTTTGTGTCAGAATTCGTTATAAATCTCACTTACAAAACCAAAAATCCAGCTTGTAATCCATAAAAAGTCCATAAAAGGATGGAGAAAAACGTTTTCAATTACCTTTAGCAATCATCATTCTAGTTGAAAAATGTATTTGGAAACTGATTTTGGAATAGAACAAGAGATGGAATGTAATTGAAACAGAGCATTAGCGAAGTTTCTTCTATGAAGCTTACAGAATTGCGTTTATTCTCAAAATCTGCTCGATAGATTTTCATTAAACTTTGCCATTTTCCATTAATTGTGACTTTGTTTTTGAGATATAAGGTCATTTCATATGAGCATGCAACAATGTGACATTGCACAAATTGTCTGACTTTTTCCTGTGATGTTTCACAGTTGCTAGCATGTCTTCTATGGGCTTGTAGAATCAAGTTTGTTCTCAAAATTTAATGGATTGATTTTTATAAAACTTTACCATTTTCTATTAATTGAGACAAGGAATCCAAAAACGTAATGTGGGTCCATTTACATGTAAAAAATTCGGCAACGAATCACTTATCTTTCCCAGAAAAAGTTAAAATTCTGGTGGTACTATCTGTTGACATTTTTAATTATTATAAAATGGCAAAAAAGCATAATTTTGAGGGTAGGGATGGGTTTTATAAAAAACTGTAAATGCTGATAACAAGTAAAATCATCATTAATTAATTAAGTCCAACCCTACTCAAGATATGACACACGATTGATGAGAGAGAGCTGAATTGACAAATTATTTTATGGGTGAAAATTTAAATCTGAAATTAAAATCTTGCTATTATTTTTCCCACAATTGTTAAAATTGTAAAGGATATGATTTTATCCCCTCTATGGAGTCACTTCCCTTTTAAGATGATACATCGAATGTATCACCAGGAACTTGGAGAAATTGCTATTAGACATAGGCACTGCAACATTGCCAAAAAAAGGGCAAGGTAGAAAAGAGGGAAAACCCCAATAAAAGGCAATGACTGATTATGAAAAAGGTTGGTCTGGAAAAAGAAGTTTCGTCCATCCTATGAGGAGTTTGTCTACTGAGAAGGAGATAGACGTTAGTCCGAGAATCCTTTACCGTCAAAAGTTTGCCCTGGTCAGAGTTGTGTAGTGCTATGCATTTTTGAAGTCCACAAATGTACAGTTACATATCACAATCATTTACACATTGTTATGCTTTTTAGTATTAAGAATACTTCTCAATAAAAGTTGATATCTATTGCTTTCAATACTTTTAATTGTATAAAATTATTTTATTTACCAAATGGATTCAAAAATCCATAATTTGTCTCTCCAGTTTCACTTTTAATCTTGGATGAAACAACTAGATTTGAACACAAATGTTGTTGTCTATAAATTGATTCTGTCAAAAGATAGTTTACATTGTGCAGAGGATAAGTTGATATCAAAGGAAGCATTCCATCCTAAATAAAATAAAATAAATATATTTAATTGTTGTTTTTGAAAAATGAACTCAATTATTAACTATAATTTTTAAATATATATTATTATTCTAAAAACTAGTTTGTATTGTTTAATTATCTGATATGCTAAGAATGTTAAGTTTGTTTAAAGTGCAAAAATTTAGCCAACTTTCAGTTTAATGAATAGGGTTGTCACCTGTCTGGGTTTGAACTTGAATCTCTAGATTTTGAATACTTACTCTGCATTCTTGATTTAGTTATTATTTCTTCTTTGGATTTGTGAATTTTTCGTATAACAAACTTTACATACAACTTGGTTTAACAATACTTACTTACAGTTATACTATACTAAACTATAATAAAAATATCCACAACAATTTTTTATTGAAATCCAGGAAATCTTATGAGTTGCAGTGTACTGTACAGTACAATATAATTAGACCTGCCATAAATCTTATGAGCAAATCTTTGACACAAGGACATAACTTTACCAAATACAGTAGGGTTGACTGTTCCAAATTGTGGAATGTCCTTACTGGAGGTCTGATGGTAACTAAAGACAGTCCGAGGCCCTCCTGAAGAAATTTTTAAAATATAACATAAAACTACTATATTTTTGAAAAGATAACCTGAAACAGCATATATTACAATAACAAAAATAAAACTTCTGTACTGTATATTTGTGGACTGTTTGGCCTGTCGGTTTGTCCAGAGGAGACCACAAAATACAATGTTTCCATATTGTAAAAACTGGCATGCCAGTTTATCCTGGGGAATGTCATGTTGGTTTAAATGAGATTGTACATCTGTCTCCAGAAAGCACTTGTAAAAAAACAAATGCATTACGTCACAAGGAGTCTTGTAAATGTCAGTTTTTATTCTAAAATTGTGAAACTCCATATTAAAACAAAAACTACAATTACATGTTCAATTTCTGCATTTTGCCTTCTTTCTAATGATATAAAATACTTGTAAAATGCAAAAAATGCATTTTTTATGTTTATTTTATTGTAATTTTACCAGAAACAATAAACATATATCAAATTTCACAAACTGTAAATTATCTCTACTTATACCCAGTGGTGATATTCGAAATATTCAACAAAGGGTTCGCTAACAGAAAAGTTTTTCTTAAAGCCCCAAGCCCGAGATATCTCGGGAAAGTTACATAGCGTTACATAAAACTCGGGCGTTTGAACCCTCTAAATTTTTTTTTAATTTTTGGAATGTATTTTAAGTCTCCAAATTTTTTTCCCGCGCGAAAGAATTTTATCGCGATTTTAATTTATCTTTAATGACGCACGATTCACGCTTAATTGCTTTTTAATTGTTTTTTAATGAGAGTTTGATATCAAATTTTATTCATCGTTCTAAAGTTGTAGTGCACAAATTTTTCTTCGGTAAAGTTATTTAAAGCTAGTTTCTAATGTCAAAAACGACCTCCGATAGTTTTAAAATTTTTTTAATTAATATATTTTATTATATAGTCTATAAGTTTAATTAAGTCGGGGGGGGGAAAATCGCAATAAAAATTTTAATTTTTTAAAAATATACGGCCAGCTAGTATTCACCCTACTATAAACCCATCGCCTCCCGAGACTTCTGAGAGAATGTCCCGGGAAATCCAACTCCAGCTGTGTAAACAATGACTCATCAGCGTCAGATTTCGCAGAAAGGCGAGACAATGGAAAATAAAATCTGAAGCTTTCTCTTCAAAATTAACGCATTTCTTTCGTTTTTTTCAGTTTTAAGTATATTTTTTATGTTTAATTACATTAATATCAAAAATTGCTAGAGTCCCGAGGGGTTAACTGCTTTTCCTGTGACTTTTTCTCAAGAAAAAACTTTTCTAAATCATTTATTTTATCGTTAGGTATTATTATAATAATAGACAGATGTCATCGTTTCTCGAAATACAATATCTTTTTTATTTCGCTGTCGATAGCCCGACACGTGTTCCGCAGCCATCTTGTATTTTCTCGCGCACGTGGGATTGTGGGATCTCTCGTATGACTGAACCTAGTTTCAAGAACTTTCTTGAGTCGGTCGCGATTAAATCTCGTTTCAGTCGAGATTGAAACGGTCGATGGAGGTTGCACCATGGCGAACGGGGTATAAGGCTCTAGTTTAGTAGTGTTACAGAGTATAATACGTATATTT